GTATTAGTTTATTTTATAATTTTATAAGACATATACAAACTTTATGATGTTACTATAAATTAGAGGAAACATAAAATGAGGAGATTACAAGATGAATTCTTAAGCTATCATGTAGTTTTATTTTAATTAATATTATATTAATTTAATATAACAGTAGGTACCTTATTCAAAGGTAGTGTGTAATGTGTGTGTATACTGTAATCGCATAGAAATATGATTCAGATCTTTTAGATAGTTTGCCCACCACTCAAACGAAGCCTCGCTACTCCGTATATTATTATATATATCAAGTTATAACTGTGCACTTTAAGAAAGTCTATTTATGTGCTATCAATATGCTCGTTAGTTAAATAACAAATAGTTAACAAATTTTTTATGACAAATATTAGCCAACTAAACATTTAGATTTTATGCTAAAATTCCTGTAAAAAAGAACACAAAATTATATGTTTTCAAAAAAGTATTTGATTAGATTTTGATAGAGATGATGTCGAAATTCAAGATAACTATTATCTAGTCGTATCATATAATAATAGAAAAAGGCACAGGTGATTGAAGAAATATTTCCATTTTTCAATATTTAATTTTGTGAAATATTTTTTTGAATGCAGAGACACTTTGTAAATTAGATACACATTTTATCATATTAATTTTATTATGAAACACATATAAATTATAAATATGAAATTTTATAAAAATATTTAAACATATGTTAAACATTACTAAAAAAACTAGTTAAGAGATTTTGATAGACCATGTCCTACATAAAAAAATACATTGAGATGAACATAAAACCTCCTCGTTTTGGTAGTCGATTTAAATTACCATAATTAATTTTACCATAACAACCTTTCCAAATGGTAATAGTTCAACATAAACGTTATTTTAACAGCACTGTATTTGTGAACTTAATAATAGTCTATGAATACCGCCTACGTTATTTATAACAGCCGTACCTCAATGAAAGAAAGTCTTCTTCACGCAAGCGACTGTCGACAGAAACTACTATATAATACTAAATAATAAATTTGCTTGTTCTGACTAATTCGTAAACGTATAGTTGAATAATAATATAAACGTTTTTTTATATTAATACTAGCGGCTCACCCTCGCTTCGCTCGGGTTCGCACGATTTAAATATATATAAATAGTTATTACCCAGCGTTAGCCATATAAATTTTAATACGGTTGTTAAGTATTCTTAAATTTTATAATTTTCCGCGCAATTTTTATATATTTTTTCTTTCATAAGAACCTTCTCCTGACAGTAACAAACACAACAAAAAAAATAGATAAATCGGTCCAGCCGTTCACGCGTGATGGCGTGACCAATGGAAATAGGGATTCATTTTTATATATATATATATATATAATATTATTATGTAACGCCTAAGAGGGATATTTGAAATTCAACCCTGTAAGATGTGAAAAGAATTGCCTCATGTTTGTATGATATTTGACTGTTGAATTTCTAACTTATTAATTCAACTTAAATGGATACGATTTTAATATTTAATACTATTGATTGCTCGCATAATATAATACTAGTTTGACTGTCTCTATGTGAGTTGCAGTTTTAAATCCCGATTAGATACAAATACATAATATGTTAACCATATGAATATAATTTTGTTGCAATGCGCCTTTACGTCCAAATATAAGTAAGCGTATTGTGTCATATTTCACACATGCCTAACGCTTGAGGAATATCGAGTGCATTACTACAGAGCATCAATCACTACATATTATTAAACAAAGTCCTCCGCCGCGTCTGTCTGTCTGTCTGCCTGTTCGCGATAAACTCAAAAACTACTGCACGGATTTTCATGTTGTTTTCACCAATGGATAGAGTGGTTCTCGAGGAAGGTGTTAGTATATAATTTGTTAAGTTTTTATATACATTGGCTAAAATATAACGATATTTGTGGGAGGTGTCGGAAAAAAATAAGCCGTGTGGGAGCTTTCAACGAAAACGATTTGAGATATAACAAAATAATGTATGGTGGAATTGTGTATCTTATATAGGGCTACAGAAAATTCCGCGATAGCATAATATCGTTGGCTCACTATTACACGGTTCTATGTTAATTTAAATGAAGTTTAGTAATTTTTACATAGAACTTCGTTATTTTGTTATCGTAAAAAAACAACATAGAAGTATGTAAAATTGAATATTTTGTAGTTATAGTGCCGCTATCTAGTGGTTTGTTTTTGCAAAACTGTAGCTAATGATACATAGAACCTTGTAATAGTGAGCCAACGAATTATGTATATCTCGGATAACATACTATATGCATTTTGGATGGACAAACTCGAGCGAAGCGAGGGTGAGCCGCTAGTTACTAATATTATTCAATAAAATAACGAACTGAATTGTAGTGTTTATATAGTCCGTTCATTACATTAGTATCACCAAAACTTACGTCTCACATGCCAAGCCTACGAAAATAATCTACCTCAGATCAAAAGGACCTGCCGCATGATAATCGAGAAATGCTCTCAGTTTATACCGTTTTTTTTTTAAACAATTTTGTGATGTACCAGAAAACAGAAAATTGTAATGATGAATAATAGACAAAATAAACACGTTATTGTAGCAAAACTAAATATCCATACTAATATTATAAATGTGAAAGTGTTTGTTTGTTTGTCTTTCTTTGACGTCGAAACGGAGTGACGGATTGGCGTGATTTTTTGTGTGGAGATAGTTGGAGGGCTGGAAAGTGACATAGGCTACTTTTTATCGCGGGAGATTATCTCACTCCCATGGGAAAACACGTTATACCTAATACAACCAAAAAAAAAATATTGTCAGAATTCCTTGAAACTTGGTATTAATGCTCTTCAATACAATTAAAAAAATACGTGTTTTAGCATTTTTCGAAATTCATCCCATAAGGGGGTAAAACAGGGGATAAAAGTTTGTATGAAAACTACCTTTTTAGAGATTTTTTGTAGTTTTAGCGCGTGCGAAGCCGCGGGTTCTGCCAGTATTATATATAAATATTACTGTTTTCTGTAGAAATTTTCGTCATATTCACGAGTTAAAACTCATTAATATTACCGACGTTAATGGAGCAAATAGATATGAAATATCCACTTAAAAGTCTTATGCAAAATATTATTCTTTTGTAAATCAATACCTATATAATAAGATTTTTTTAATTTTCTTTCTTCTTTTAATTTAAGTAATTTTTATCACAATTCAATATTTCGAAACCACAAGAAAATCTTTGATATCAAATTCCTTTAGAACGGACCGCACGTAGCCCCTATGCCGCATTCACTCATACTTTAGATAACATTCGACTGTTTTCCCGCACACGGTATATGAATGAAAATATTTTACGATAACCATATCGCGCGAATATTTGAATAAAATTCATGATATTATTATAGATATTTTATGAGAAAACTCGTAGTAAGGTGTAGCATAGGTAGTAGTATAGCAATCTATAGCATATCTACTATGTGGGGAATATTTAAAACGCAGTTAGATAATAATAAACGTATTAGAGAAACAACGCTGTCAAAATCTTTATAACACATTGTTCCAGAGTCGTTATAATTATGAGATACTTCATAAGAATTTTAATAAGTTAATGTCACTCTTTGAAAATATGATTAACTGCCAATACTCTGTCGTTTTTATTTTTATTATTATACTAGCATTGCCCGCGGCTCCGCCCGCGTTCAGATGGCCAAATACCTAATTCTTATGTTGTACTTTTTAGTATACTCGTACATTGCAGTTTTTGTATTTTTTCTCAGAAATGAGACATTTTCCCGCGGTAAAAAGTATCCTATATGTTGACCGGGATAACCAGCTATCATCATACTAAATTTCATCAAAATCTGTCCAGTGGTTTTCTCATGATGCGGTAACAGACAGACAGACAAGAATTCCAAAAACTATAGATTCGGACTCTGTATCGATAATAATGTATATTTCAATTAGGTTTTCCAAAAAATATTTAATGTACAGATTCGACTTAGTTACAATTTTATTACATCTATACATATATAGAGTAAATAATGTTAAATATTTATTTTAGCAATGTGAATAGTCAGTAATAGGAATTGATATATTTCTATTTTAATTTTAAGTAAGATAGACATTTAAAGTGAAATGATCGTAATTTTAATCTTATATAATAGACGTCGACAGTTGACCCACCTCTACCTAGTGTTGATTCAGCAAATCAAACGTATCAATAATTGTCAATCGGAATTTCCAATAGCGGTACACTGTCAGTAACTAAATATTAAATTCGTTCGTCCTAACAATAAAAAATTGGTTGCAAGGGAAAATAAAGGTTTGATAGTAATAAAAATAAATAAATCAGTTGATAATAATAGTAAAATTACAGGTCAAAGTAATTTATATAAGCTATTATTTATGATATTACTGTTACATTTCTAAAATTACTTTTGGCGACCTTTGCCCATGGTTATACTCCCATAGTTGGGTAAATCCACATAATGGAAACGTTGAAACAAATGTTGATACATAAAACTCAATTCATTGGGATAAGCTAATTTCCATTTGTATTTCAAATTATTATTATTATTTTATATCGCACACCCTTTCAGATTTTAGAAAAAGCGTCATATAAAAATTTATTTTGGAGTACCTACCAACAATACATTGTTTTTAACGCCCGACGCAAAACTCGTCGTTTTGCGTGTTATAAGTTTGACGTGTCTGTTTGTATGTCGGTCTGTGGCATCGTAGCTCTCGAATGGAGAAGCGATTCTGATGTTTGATGAAAATCGATCCAAGATGGTCGGGTTTTTTTTTAATTTTTAATTTATCTCTTGTATACTGAAAATATATAAAAAAAAATATATTGAAATATATAGCATTTGATTTTGTTTTTCAGGATGCAGTGATGGGCTCAAAAAGACATTTGCTATTGTATGGTATAATGCAAAATTCACGATGTGCGAAGCTAAAGGCTGGAACTAGATGGCAGCGTTGGACGGCCCGCTGAAACAAGATGGCTGCGGGCTCGCATGCAAGGGGAGGCGGATCTCTCGCGCGCCTTCTAGTGCTAGCTGTCTTACAAGTTAAATTTGTAGGTAAGAAAAGCTATAAATGACTTAAGTATATATTAAATTGAACGTAATCGTTCGTCTAAAACGTTCAAAAGTTATATCTATGTCTTCTGCAAGACCTTGACTCGGGTAATTTACCTTTATAATGTTTTTATAAAATAATATTTACATATATTACTCTCACTCAATCAACTAACACGATTTCTTTTATTTAGTGATAACGGCAATTTATAGAAATTATTGTATTTAAACAAGTGATAAATAATGACGCAAACGCAAAGCAATAAAATCAATAGAACAAATTGTTGATATAGAGACATTTTCAATCTATTCTCTTATGAATTGGCTGGCTTAAACTTTTTAGTATTCTACGAGTGACCGTTTCGCTGTGTCCATATTAATTCATTCCGTGTGACCATCTGTCTGTCCATCTGCCAAGATAGATGGACGTGTGCCAAGTTCTAGTATAATCCAAATATTTTGTAAGATTAGTGATAATTTTTACGCCCCTTTAACAAAATTGATATTTCAAGTTCATAATTTTATAATTTGAGTGGGTATTTTTCGCATTTTATCTAATGAATTAATTTAATTATGCACGCATACGACACTATATATATATATATATATATATATATATATATATATATATATATATATATATATATTGCACTAAACAAGTAATAAATAAAAATACACAAATGACGAACAAACAAAACAAAAATGACGTTGACAAAGGTGGACTTATCTCTATATGGGATCTCTTCCAGTCAACCCATGTATGTGGGAAATAGTGTTAAGTAGCGGGACAGAAAGAGAAAGTGCAGAGAAACGATAAGAAAACATAAATATAGTAAGTTAAAGAAGTCTTTAGATCATAAAATTAAATTTAAGTACTATATCTCAAATGAGGCACCTTAAACATAAAACTACGTTATTTAGATAGCGTTATATTCAGACCGAGCGTAAATGCAACAGCGAGATTGCCAAATAATATAGTGGCGTACATTTACGACATTTGTGTAGTCCGTCGTGAGTTTTGCAGTTTTCATCTAACAAAGTGCAAGCTTTCACAGCGTTTGCGTGAATTTCTACTTTACGACAATACACGGGCCCGTTTGTACGCTTATAAAAAACATTGCCACAAAAAATTATAACATCAGCAGATGAAAGTTTTTTCAGTGTAATCGTCAACTGTTAAAGTTATATGCAATAGTAAATATAATTTGTAAATACAAACTCTGTCAACTAACGGAAACTTTAAATAACAAATGATTTTCATATATCTAATATATTTTTATCTTATTTATTCGAATTCGTATTACATAAGAAATATTATAACGTTTAAATTAAGAACTTTAATCTATACACATAATAAAATTGTAACCAAGCCGAATCTGTACATTAAATATTTTTTGGAAAATCTTATTGAAATAAACATTATTATCGATGCAGAGGCCGAATTTATAGTTTTTAGAATTTTTGTCCGTCTGTCTGTTACCGCATCACAGAAAAACCATTGGAGGGATTTTGATGAAATTTGCTATGGTGATAGCTGGTTATTCTGGTCAACATATTTTTACCGCGGAAAAATGTCTCATTTCTGAGAAAAAATACAAAAACTGAAATGTAAGAGTATACTAATCGGGCAATGCTAGTATGAAATATATACCTACATACATATATGTATATCTAAATATAAAGCATTGTAAGCGATATTGACCCAAAAAGTTTGTCAGCAAATTGAGTCCTAAAATATATTTGGTAGAATAAATGTTAGTAAAACAATCAAATCTATTTTTGATCAATGTGCATTTAATTATATCTAGAATATTTTGAAGCTCGATATTTACTGCTAAATCTGTTCACTAATTAAAACTTAGTAGCTTTCACATGTCTGTACTCAACTTTTGATCACTTATTTAAAACAGAAGGTATCTCTTATTGTTTATTGTATCTGTAATAGAGAGAACATCTGAAAAGAGCTTAAACGTTTTCATATTATTTGTTTGTAAAACTAGAAACATGAAATATACAATACACTGGTTTTCAAATGGATGTTTTAGCCACTTTGGAAATAAATTCATCCGACGATGATAAAAATATAAAAGCAGCAAAGTAACATGGATGAACCCTTTCAGGGTCTGGGAGCGCTGGTTGCTTGAAATCCTCGTTGAAAAAAGGTCTACAGGCCAAAATATCAGATCATTTAAAAAAAACGAATATATTCACCATTATACAATTTATAAAATTTACTCGATTTATGTACATAATATGAATGAATGTTCTCCAATTTTAAGACCAAAAATTATAGAATCGCCAGTCATCGCAGTTTATCTTTCAATAGATCTAAAAGCCGCCCTTAACTTTATCGTGCAAGGACAAACAACTTGACCAATATAAACCTTGGCATTTATCAGATATAAAGGTTAGAAAATATGGAACTTATAATCTTATCAATACTTATGAAATAGACAAATATATCTTTATACAAATAAATAATTTTTGAAATAATTTGACCTTCAAGTATTACCAAAAGTAAAAAATATTTATCTGAGGTAATAATAACGAGCCTCAAAAAAGCTGATGCTTAGCTGAGTTGAGAGTAGCTTGGTACAAACACGACAGGCGGAATTAAATTAATCTCGTTGTAAAATTTTCACTTGCCACCTTATCTTGCGTCGTATTGTCGTTTTATTGTGCCTACCCCTGAAACCATTAGCGAAAATGTCACAGCGCCGGCATTGTAATCGCGCGCCCGCGGCTGGTCGTACAATGATGCGGCCATTCGACCCCGCCCTTACCTTTACGCTATGATACAAATTTGACTCTCTATAATAAGCGGGCCCTCGTATAATTTTGAGAATGCATACATCACCCTCGTCCTATTTGAATAACAAACCAAGTGTTACAATAAACAAACGTATAAAGAACATATACTCTTGCGAATTCATCGTTTATGTTACATTGAAGGAAATCCTCGTGAGTTTAGAAATCTCGCGTCCGCGTGGAGATTCTGCTCACGTCGTAAGCAAGTGGCCGACAAAGGAAAAAGGGCTTGCATACCTTATTACCACCTTTTTACAAAATCCCTACTTGCGTCTATGTGAAACACGACACACTCGGGTAATTTAAATAATAACCAAATAAGTATCTACGTGATACCACTGATAAAAAGTCCCATGGTAAAGTACTCTAACATTCTATGTAAATGATGTACTTCGACTTCATTAAACTTTAATATAATTTCTTTGTTTTATTTTTATTTATTTATTTATGTACCAGAAAAAAAAACATACAAGTTAAAACAGATACCATGTGTACAAAGGATGACTTATCTTTTTAAGAGATCTCTACCAGAAACCCTCAAGTGTGAGAAAATATAAAAATAATAATGCGGTGCGGTGTAGGTACAAACTATAAACATCAATTATAATATAAATATACATATATACATATATATTTTTACTTTGTATTATATTTAGAAATATAAAATGTCAAGATATTATTATTTATGGTTTCTGAATGTATTAGCAAACTTCTATATTTGTTTTTCTTCATCAGAATGTCATCGTGGCTTTTCTGGCAATTAATCAGAAAGTCAATGAGCCATTTTGTTTGGAAATATCTGACGAGTAATCCTTCCCTAGTGGGCACCACACAGACATCGCGATAAATTGAAGTTGAACCCGCTATAAAATATTTTAGAATTCAAAAGAGCAAAACTAAGCAAAATAGTGAGGTCACCGAACTCATGAAACAGAGGAAAGGAAATGCCGGAAGTAAAAATGTAGAAACAATGCGAGTATTTACAACCGTTATCTTATTTGCATGCAATTCAAAATATTGCTGCCCCTAACACACACCATGAGTCGTATTGCCTCCCGACTTGTTTATAGAATATTTACTCATAAACATGCAGATTGCGGGTGGGACGCGTTTTTATGTAAAATGGCAGAGGGGAGCTATTTTATTTATTACCCTCTTGACTTAGTTTGACGTTGAAATGAGAAATCGTCACTAAAATATTTCAGAATTAAACCTCTGTAGCTCAACACTCAAACGTATATATATATAGGGTTATCTGTTTTTATCGTACAAATTATTAAAAAATATATTTTATATTAGCTATTACGCACGGCTCTGCTGCCGAAGTCTATCATTTTCCCTCTAATAACCTTCCTCAATGAACAAGCTCTAAAATGCAAAAAAAATGTAATGGTAGTTACAAATATTAGCGCGCTCAAATAAACAAACAAACATACAGGTATTATTTCAAGAATAAATACAAAAATTCAATTTGAAAGAATTTCTTCCTTTTGTTAGCAAACCTATTCCACTGGAACGGTACATTTTTCCGGGATAAAAAGTAGCCTATGTGTTATCCAGACTATAATCTATCTCTGTGGCAAATTCCATCCAAATCCGTTCAGCCGTTCTGACGTAAAAGAGTAACAAACATCCATACATACTCACAAACATTTACATTCATAATATTAGTATAGAATAAATATTAATATATAAATAGTACTTTAACATTAAAGAGTAGATTAGCTGTTCGATGGATATTTTTACAAAAAATATTTTATAAAAAAATAATATTTTAGCTTTCAAACGAAATCTAAATCGCATAACTTTTATTATTGTGGTCGATGTAAACAAAACAAGAATATGGTTTGCCAGTTCGTGATTCATTTCAAAAACAAAGGATATAAGCTTCTTTCTACTGCTAGAAACTTAAATGATGTATTTTTATATTTATTTATGTTATTGTATAGTTTTTTATATTTCACTGGAACGTGTAGTGATTTTTAGGAACATTTCTAAAGCATTTACAATATAGTTATTATATGAAGTAGTAAATATTATAATCTTATTAAATTTAATATTTTGTTTGTGTGTGTTGTGTGGGCACGGGCTACGGTTCGCTGGCCTAACACATCACGTCTCTCAAACATAGTCAAATAAATAAATAGTAATCAAATTGAATATAAAAATATCAAAAATACAATGCTCAGGCATTG